AGTACCATCCCACCGGATGGTGTTCTGGATTACAAACACACACACACACACACACACACACACACACACACACACACACACACACACAAAGAACGAAAGAAAAAGAAAGAGGAAGAGGATGAAGAGGAGGAAGAGGGACGCTGAGCACCAGCATTAATCTCTTTCTGCTTCCTGACTGCAGACACTTTGATCAGCTTCTTCATGCTCTTAACAACCATGACTTCCTCACCATAACTGATTGTAGCCTCAAACCACCAGGCAAAATAAGTCCTTTCTACTATAAGTTGCTTTTGTCAGGTATTTTGACAAAGCAGTGAGGAATGCAACTAATACACTTAGCCTTCGCTGCCTGTCTGAACACAAGTTACCAAAGCATGCCTTTCTCACTCATGATTTAAGACTACGGGCTTAGTTTATGTGTAAATGCAGGACAAGTAACTAATTGCCTATACTTAACCTTTAGATTCACCTCAGTGAATGAGGTATATATTCTTCTATGATGTATAGTTGAGGCAGACGAAAATCAAGGTTACATGTTCTAATCTTTGACTTACTATTCACTTGATCCTATTTATCTGTAGGATAACTAACCATGATGGAAAATATCCAGAAAAAAAAAATCAAAATTGTTTCTGTATTGAAACTTTCCTCCTTGTTATCACTCCCCAAATGATGTACTATATAACTACTATCTGCATAGCATTTGTGGGGGTTTGAATGAGAAATGTCTCCCACAGGCTCATGTATTTCACCACTTAGTCTCCAGTTGGCGGTGCTGTTTTGAGAGATCATGGAACCTTCGGGAAGATAGCCTTCTGAAGGAAGTACATCACTGGGGCCCAGCTTTCACGGTTTATGGTCTCATCCCACTTCCTGCTCAGTCTCTCTTTCTGCTTCCTGTGTGTGGATAAATATGTGATTTGCCAGCTTCCTGAGGAAATACTGGCAACTGATGGCTGCTGGGAAGCGAAGATTCAGTCTCATTCAAGGGTGAGATTCTTGGTAGGTTGACCAGGCTTCAGTGAATGAACCCATATTGAAGGGCATTTGTGGACAGAAACCTACCTCTATAGGACACACACACAGAGGAAATTTTGTGGGGATTAGTAAGAGGAGTTTAGATATAGATACAGGAGGGGATCTAAATATGATTGAAACATATTGACTGGATTTAGAACCATCATGCAAACAAACCTCTGGGTGTGTTTATCTATGAGATGAGGGTGTTCCTAGAAATGTTTCACTGAAGAGGCAAGACTCATGTTGAATGTGGGCAATACTATCTCATGGGCTAGGGTCCTGAAGCAAAGTAAAACAAAAGGCTGAGCATCAGCACTCATCTCCCTGCTTCCTGACTGTGGATGCAATGTGACCAGCTGTCTCACACTGATGCCGTCATGCCTCCCCAGCCATGATGGACTGCACCCACAAGCCAGGAGCTAAACTAAATCCTGTCTTCCTTGAGTTGACTTTGTCAGAATTTGTCATAGCAATGAGGACAGTAACTAGACAGTTGGGATCCAAGACTGAGTGAAATGGGAAGGAAAGACAGCTGCCCAGTGCTTGACTTCCTAGTCAATTGAGAAGTGAGGCATCCCAGCCACACAGTCCTCTTCCATGAAGCCCCAGGTCTTACCCTGTGATGGACTGTACCCTCTCAAGCCATCAGCCAAAAAGAATCTTTCTTCCCTCCTGCCATGCATTTTGTCAGAGCAGAGGGCACAGCCCCAGAATACAGAAGCTGGGTTTCTGATGGCCAGGTCTCCCACTTCTTACCCTCCCCCACCTCCAGTCCATCTTATAGGTCCAATCTTCAGGCGAGTCACCAGCTAAGCAGCTACAAAAGATGGAGCCAGGCAGGATTTACAAACATCACCTGTATTCCAGCAAAATATCTTTAAAAATAAATCCCTTCAAAAGGGGAGACAAACTACATAAGACACAATACTTTTAAAATATGTATTGAAATTACAAATCAAACTTTTCCATAGGATTTCAAAGTACAAAACACAACATGAAAAGGTGTTCAAACAGCTCTTTATACATCACAGTGTTAGTGCACAGAGTGTACTGATGTTTCAAAAACACAAAAGCAGTTTGTTTTTTTGTTTTTGTTTTTGTTTTACCACCACTTGTTAAATACAGAAATGTATATATGTGCATGACTGGGCATGCAATTTTTTATACAAGATTAAAATATACCCAGGGCAATGTGAGCAAAAACAAAAGTCAAGTCAGGTACATGGCACATAGATACCCCAAACCGAAGGGCCCTAGGATCATGGAAGACAGGATTACACAAGTCAGGAGGGCTGGAGACTATGGGGTGTAAATACGAAGAGGGCATGCTCCTAGTCAGGGCGTATCAACAAGCATGTTTGAATGCCGGCCCCTTCTCCAGGCTGAGCTTTTGGCAACTGCCAGTCATAATCTCTTTTTTGTGTTTATTTTCATAAGGGCTTGGGTTAGTTGTAAGGAAGAAACAAGCTTTGGTATTTTTTAAGGAGACCTTCATGAAGCTGCATACATACAGAAAGTTTCCCCTTGATGGGGAAACTTCGGTGTGATTTACATATATATATATTCACAAGTACATTTGTTAATAAATGGGAATCTGGGAAATATACAAAAAATTGCCCACCTTAGTTCTTTCTAGTCCCCTCATTTTCAAAGACAACCAAGGGAAAATTTTCTCTTCTAATTTATGAAATAACTTTACCTCTTAAAACATCAGTAAAAAATATAAATTCATCTTGAAGTCATGTTTTCATGCCTGACTATCTTTTTACCCATAATTTTAAACAGGAATTGGTTTGGATCTTTCATCTGTTTTATGAAATAATATACTATAAAGATAATTTATTCTCAAGAGAGATGCCAGTGGTGGGGGTGGCGAGTGTTGGTTCTGAGGACTAAGCTACTCTTGAGTGGTAAGGAGGAAGAGCTGACACGGGCCATAATTCATGGAGTCCAAGGCTTTGCCTCTGCAAGATGCTGTTGCCCTCTCCTCCATGAATATCTTCAAGTGACTCTGAAGGCATCATCTGAGGTAAGGATGTGAGACCTGCCAGCTGGGCCACAGGGTGCAGGGCTGAGCTGGGCCAGAGATCAAGCACACCCAATAAAACCCAGTGGCATGGTCAGATGCCCGAGGGCTTCAGACAGCCTATGGGCCAGCAGGTCCTCAGTGGGAACCCTGCTGGGGAGCCCTGTGACAGTATGGCCTGTCATTAAGAGCCTTCTCACCAGGCCCAGGACTTCAAGGAATGAAAATGCTGCAGCCATCAGGGAAGACTGTCTCAAAGAAGGCCATTTGCCATTCTGGTAAACCACATTGAGCCACAGGAATGAGAAACCCCACCATGTGCTCTTGGGGGCTGATAGCAAAGACCAAAGTCCCCATCTAGGGCTATCTTCCCTGTTCCATGTACATTTCACATCACACATGGTTCAAGTCGAATCCCCATAATAAATGGGAGTGGTAGTCTCTACTAAAAGAGGCCCCACGAAAGACAAATGCAAGTTTATATATCTCAGTATGTACTTGCTGGTGTTTTTACAGGGAATGGACAAGTTATATTTATTACTAAATCCAACTGAGCAAATGGAGGTGTGATTGATACAAAATCTCAGAGTAGGCAGGAGTCTTTTGACCACCCCTTGGCTGATCCGAGCATCCCTATGATCCCTGCCTGGATCAAGCCACACACTTGGGAAGCCTGCTGCAGGTAGAGGCATGTGTGGGTGGAGTTAGAGAGGTGCAGAACTGTGATCATGCTGGGACCTTTCCCAGATACAAGGTCACTCTATCGCTCTAAGGATCAGGGAGCCTGAGCTACAGTCTAGGGACACAGTCTTCCCAAAGGCTGTCACTACTACCATGAGGACAAGTGCCACTGAACAGACTGGTGAGATATGTAAGCAGCTCTGCAAAGCAGGAAGGACCTCTGACTCATGAAGGTCTGTCCCACGTCACTGGAAAAGGCCTGGGTCTGCTGCCATGTCTGACAGGCATTCAAAGGGTGGTGGCCACATGTTCTACTTGAACATGATTTTAACACTGACTAATTTAAATGACTTTAGTATCATAAAGAATCAATACCAGAGAACTAGAAAACAGTGATTCTATTTTGTCTCAGCTACACATTATCAAAATAAAAAATATGAAGTCATTTCTGGACAGGGAACATCTGCTAGGGCTAGACACTGGTCCACAGATGTGGAGTCATACACACAATAGCCACCAAAGATGTGTTTTCAATAAATAAATTAGAGCTAAAAGAAGTCTGTTTGATTTCTTTGTGGGAAGGCTTAGTATACCTTAACAAATTTTTCTGTAAGACCTTTCTTTACCTTTGTATCCTGTTCTGGCAAGCACATTTGTTTTGAAAGTCAATTCTCCACTTTTCAGAGTCAGTTGATGGGAGTACACATGTGTCTTAGTACCTGTGCATTCTGCTGCCATAGAAACAGTCACACACAGACTAGGGAAAGATCCAGTGGTGAAATCCCCTCATCAGAAAAACGAAGTGAAATGGAAGGTCTCCCCTTCCCCTACTCAGCAAGAGCAAACTGTAAACTACCCAATTGAAACTGTTTGAGTCACATGATTTTTCAAAATATCTAAAGCATTTAAACAATCTGAAAAATTCAGAAAGCTCCCACTCCCACTTCCAAGAGTCTCCAGGTACAATGTCTTCTCACTGTCTACCCAAAAAATGGGGCAAGAAGTCAAACCAGAGTCATTCAGAGTAGAACTATTTTCAAAGTAAAATACATTCAAAGGTATTTGCTACTATGTGGAAGATAAAGAACAGAAAAAAAAAAGAGCCCTGTCAACTTAGCTGAATGGAAATGAAAAGGGAAGGAAGGAAGGAAGGAAGGAAGGAAGGAAGGAAGGAAGGTAAGACATAAAACTAAGCAATGAAGCACTTATCTAGCATGTTTAAGGCCCTAGGTTCAATCCCAAGCACAGGAAAAATAAAGGAGGAAACGGGAGGGAGGGAGGGAGGAAGGCAAAGCCAGAGATGATCCTTGAAACATGTCAATATCGTCAAAAAAAAAAATGCAATGATACAGGACCCATGTAGATAACAGTACACAGCTTACAGCATTCAAAAAGTGATTACAGCAAGTTCCAAGGAAAACAAAAAGTGTGCATAAGGCTTTCTGTATCTCCTGAAAAGTGGTCAAGCCGGAAAAGCCATTTAACCATAACTTCATAAAATGCACATTTCAAAAAAAGGCATAGGATGGTTTTACGCACCTTGTTGATTTTCACTATTCAGTTGACAAAAAAAAAGCCTTCTAAAAAGGATTTTACTAAATACCTTTAGGAATAAAAACAGTTGTCATAAACAGAGCACTTTTCTCAAGTTGAATAATCAGGTTCTGGCTAAAGAGAGTCGTAATCCTTGAAGACTTCTCTTGACAACATGGCGCCAGCTTGAAGCCAAAGAGGGGACTGAGTCCCTTTGTCTGAGCAGGTCCCTTAAGCTCCCACTGGACATTCCTAGTTTATGGTCATGGGGAGGAAACTGCCTGGTGTGCAGCTTATACCACCACTGGCCGGGGCTGTAGACACAGGACTCTGGGATGTGCCCACCCACTTCTGCCTTGCCTTCCCCATTACCCAGGTGACCACACCTAGGGCCTCTGCCAACTTGCTGATGTCATCCCTGAAATCCCTGCATCAGGCCCAATACTGAAGCTCAATGGGGCACATAAGGCAAGAAACATGTTTAGTGAGAGGGGTTGTAGGGGGCTGGGGAGCCACACTTCCCGATGCAGGGGTCTGTTCCAGCATCATGTCCGTCCTCTAGGTGGGCAATGGGTCATCGTCACCTTTACTGCACTTACACTTGCAGCAAAGTACAAAGGGAGTGGCCAGGAGCAGGAAAGGAGAGGCCACCAAGAGCAGGAGCCCAAATCCAGCAAAAATGCCCACGACCTGAAGAAGGAAACAAAGAATAGAGGTAAGGAGGACTAGTCTGTAGGTTTCAGAGCTCAGGTCAAAACCAACCATCAACCACCCGCCCACTCATCCATCCATCAATCCATCCATCCACCCTCCCACCATGCTGTGTCCATCTTTCTGTCCACCCATTGAGCCATCCATTTGTCATTATTCATAGATGATTATTCATCCATGCCATCCAACCATCTACCCTCCACACATACATGCAATCCATCTACCACCTACCCACTCTTCCCCGCATTTGTTTCTCTAATAGTCACCCACTCACCCACCCCATCTCCCGCCTGTCCGACCCAGCACTGGTCCGCCCACCTGCATTTCTATCCCCTCACTTTTTCTCCTCCTTTGTATTCCCCTTTCCTCCCTTCCCTTTCCTTCATCTAGCCTTCTATGTATCATCTAATTAAACAGTGATCTCCCCTGGGCAGCCATTCTAAGTCAGACAGTACGCTAGGTGCTGCCCAAGGTGAGATCTCCGTACTCTAGGAGGATATTGTTGGGTAGAAAGACCAATATTTCACCAATGGCTGACAGAAACTGGGTCCAGTTCCAAGTGCAAAGGTCACCCAAGAAACAGGTTCTTCATTTGCTAAAGGAAAGGAGGGTCCCCAGTGGCAGATGGCTGAGATGGCAGAGACACAGAGATGGTTAGTGTACAAGATGGTAAGGACAAGACCCTCCAAATGAAGGAACAGGGGTGGCAGATACATGGGACATTAGGCACTGACCTGACTTTTGCCTTTTTGGAGTGTAAAGCCCAATACTGACTGCTACATATTTTGATTTTTCTTTTAAAACGTGTTTATTCCTAGGTTTGTGTAAATGCTGAAAGGAATAAGCCTCAAATGCAGACCCGCTGTTTCAAAGGGGCACGGACTTTTTAAAATAAATCTACAGCGTCCCTCCAACAACTGAATGCCAATGATGAAGTTAGACTGCCATCTAGTGCTCATGGTTATAAGTACATGCCCTGGTCATGTGTTTCTGAGTCCAATTCTTCATTTTCCAAGGTCTGTCTTCTCAATTGTAGAATAAACAAATGAGAGAAACTATCTCTAAGGGTTACTATCAGCTATCAAGTAAGTGACTGCGCCAAAGCATCAAATGTGTATGAAGGAAAGGACAGACTCTATCAAATTTCTCCTGAAAACCAACCACACACATACAAGTACATCACCATGCATGCACATATCCACATGTATAATAAGGTCACACCACACTGCATTGATAAATGAGGTGATGCTGATGCTGAGTTCCACCCATCATGCTCAGGTGGCAATGCTCATTTGCTCAACATAACATGGATGGTGAGACTGCACCATGCAAATCAGATCGTGTTGTGTTAAAATTACACTCACACTGTGGGGGGGGGGTATAAGGAGCTGCCGCAATAGTTTAGCTGTTAAGGGTGTATACTGCTCTTGTAGTGGACCCAAGTTAAGTGCCTAGCACCCACTTCAGAAAGCTCACAACCACCTCTAACCCTATGCCTTCTTCTTGCCTCCCCAGGCGCGTGTATTATGTGCACGTGTGCAAGCTCACATGCATGCACACATATTTATATCATTAAACAACTATAAAAATAAATCTTTAAAAAGCCCACATGCACACCAACACCTCAAGACCCATAAGAACTCATGGTGAATTCATCCATAAGGTGTTCCTAAGAATCTAGCTGCCCCGTGGATGACTACCAGCCTTAAAGGAGCCATAAATCCTCTGTAGTTGAACCCCTGACACATGTTCACATTCTCATAAATAAGACACCATCTCATCACTCAGCCTGCCTTGTCTGTATCTTTAGGCTGTTTGGTAAGTTGCCCTAACAGTCTACTGGCAGTTGGTGATGGGTGGATGCAGAAATTGTCAGGAGAAGGGAGCCAACAGAAAAGAGTGAGACAAAACAAAAAGTCACTCAGTGAGCATGCCTGAGTGTCAGGCACTAGACTACACAGTGTGGGTGGCAGGGGGAGGCATTAGTTCAGGCTCCTGAGAGGGTCACTGCATAACACAGTGACACCTGCTTTGGTCACTGAGCTCTGCAGGACAACAAACTTCACTTGAGCTACTTAAAGCCAACACCGTTAGACCAGAGCTCATTCTTCACGAGCATGTCATGTTCCCCCAATGTCCAGTCCCTCCTCATAATAGAAGCCCTGAGCTGACCCAACTGAACAGAAAATAGCATGCTGTGAATGGTCTTTCCAGAGTTCTCCAAACTGCATTTGAACTTCGGAAGACCAAGTCCAAATCAAAGATGAAATAAGGACCTTCAACTCACTGAAACATTGTGTCTCGGGGCAAGGATAGGCCTAAGGTGTTGAAATCTCACTGAATCCCTGGATTATGATTCACTACAATGTTCTTATTTTTTGATCTTCTCATTGTGTGTGTGTGTGTGTGTGTGTGTGTGTGTGTGTGTGTGTGTGTGTGTGTATGTGTGTGTATGTATGTGTGTATGGAGACCAGCAGTCAAGTCTGACATCTTCCTCACTTGATGTCCATCTTATTTTTTTGAGACAAGGTCTCTCACTGAACTTGAAGCTCACAGATGTGTCTAGACTGGCTGGCTGGCGAGCCCATCTCTGGTTCCTGAGGGTAGGACTGCAGCTTGTGCTGCTGTACCCAGCTTGCAGTGTTCTCAGTTTCCAGAGGCAGCATCCCCGGCCCAATATGCTCTCCAAAGGTCCCAATATTTCAGCCTCAGCCAGGTACCCTACTGTTCATCTAAGCACTTTAGAGCAGCTCTGGCTAAGTTGTCTAGGACCAATGTTGTACATCAGGAACTCTAGGCCTTCAGTCCACATGGGGAGACAACTCATGAACACACAAGCATCCTTCAGCCCACATAAGGAGGCACCCTATACAGACCCATGCACATGTAAGCTAGCCACAGAAGCTAGCTGGCCTAAGTAACCTGAAATGAGCTCTTCCTTCTGACTGGACTAGAGTCAGATAAAGGGTCCCTTTTCACTGCTCAGAAAAAGGAGCTGGAGTAAGACTGTCTCCTGGAAGATGCCTTGGCCCTGAAAGATGAGATCTGCTCCAGTGGAAAGAGAAATGAGCCCCTAGCTCTTCTGCAATTCAGCGTGTTTCTGAGACGGTGCTGGCAGATACTCCCCAGCAGTGGGATTTACACTAAATGTTAAAGAAGGCCAGACGTCAGGCATGGCGATCATGAACTGAGACTCACACATGGACATTTCATCATCAATGACATAAATGTCTTTCCATGCACAGCAGCAGAGCCTGCCCAGATACCTGCCATCTCATGCTCCTGTGTGCTCCAGCAGGAGACCCTGTTACACAGAACAAAAAGTACATATACCACAATACCTTGACATGACGAAGACATATTTTTTTCATTCATAGCATGCTTTTATAGAAAGGTTCACTTGACAAGGGGCTGAGTAAAATATATTTGGTATGTAACATTTTATGTTCATAAAACTAATAAAAAGCTGCAATATTTCCAAAGGGCAAAGTCCCCGAAATATGCTAGAACAATGTCATCAAACCGCATATCAAAGTCAAGAAGAGTCAGAAAGCAGGAACCCACAAAACATATTACATACTGAGGACAACACCCCAAATAGTGTGGTCTCAGCACACTAGACTTGAGGTATACTTGTGAATTCCATGGAGGTTAGTGGGCAAGGCCGTGAGCAAGAGTCAGACGTATTCCTGGGAGTGTACCAATCTCAGTTCTGGTGAACTTCTCAGCTATGACCCCATCAAAAGTAAGGGGCTGTATAGATGACTTGTTCTTAGAGTTGGTGGTTCAAGATCAGGACTTAAGTAAATATAAAAGCAGACAGTGGGTAAGTTAAGCACAGCTACCTATAAGGATAACAGGGTGCTGCATAAGGCCACCTATGAGTGCCATCAAATCAAATTCAAAAGCCCCAACTTAAGATGCACTGTGGTTTGGATGCTTCAGAGATGTTGGGTGCAAGAGCCAGGGCTGCAGCAGATCTTTAAGATGGGTGGAAGAAATCTGAGTGGGAGAGGGGAAAAGCAGACAATAGGGAGAGAGGTAGAGTAGAGGAAGGGTAGCAGGTCATTCCTGAGAGGGACCTTCTGAGAGGCAAAGACTTCCTGCTCTGTAGAGATGAAGATGAGGTTAAATGTGATGCAGGGCATCAGGAGAGTCAAGATGAGCATCCTTCAAGTTAGGCTCTCTGAGCGTTTTCTTCTGGAGCTCTAAAACCTTCTGCGGTTTCCAAGAACCAGTCTTTAGCCTGCTCTAAGACACTCTATCCCTTCCATGCCTGACCCGAACTTCTACCAGATGAACCCCAAGGGCTCCCTCCCCCAATCCCCACCCTTAGAACATGGCCACCATGTTTTAAGGAAGCTCAGGCCACATAGGAGACATAGGAAGATGTCTGAGTAACAACTCCAGCTGGGGTTCTGGTCAGTAGCTGTGAGTGGTCACCACCTCCATGTACCTGACTTCAGAGAACTTGTACCCTAACCTCAGTGCTGACCAGCCAATGTCATACAGGGTAGAAATAGATTGGCTTTTCTCTATGTTCACACTGAAAAGTCAAGAGCAAGATAAAAGTGCTGGTGTCAAATCAATGTTTATTTGGGAGAGGTTTATTTATTACCCACTAGTAGATAACCAAAGACCTTGTAAGTCACCTTCTCAAAGCTGGAACTCGATTCCCCTGCATGGGAGCCAGACAATGGAATTTCCAAACTTCTGCCTCAATCTGACTCAAAGTTTCTTCTGCTGAGGTGTGCACAACAGCTTCTGGCTTCAGTCAGTACCCAGTTATCCCCCAAGAGGTGCAGCCAAGGGGAAAAGAGCCCGGAAGAGGAAATGCGTCCTCATCACAGCTCCCTAAGACTGCAAAGCATGGCCTTCTTTGGATATTGGGTTCTTGCAGATGTAATCAAGTTAAAACAAGGTTATGGGGGAGGGTGTTAATCCATGACTGGTGTCTTTACACAGAAGGGGATATGGACACAGAGACAGACAAACAGACACACACATAGGGAAGACAGCTTGAAGATAAGCAGGGAGATGACAGCCACAGGCAGAGGACGAGAGGGGCACAACACACGCGGAGCTGTGCCAGAGTGCTGGCAAAACCCAGGAGCTGGAGGAGGGAAGAAGTGTCTCTCACGGGTTTCAGTGATGGCCTGACCCTGCCAATGCCCAGATAACAGATGTCTAGCTTCCCGAATTGAGAGGCAGAAGGCTTCTGTTGTTCTGAGCTAGGCAGCTGCACTACTTTGCCACAGCAGCAAAGCATCCTCATGGGCAGGATGGCTCCCTTCCCCACTGATCTGCAGGGAGGAGTGCTGAGGAAACACAGCTACAGGTGGACCTGCTCTCAACTCTAGGCCACTGTTCTGACCACTGGGGCTCTGTCTCCAGACAGACTGACACACTGACCTGAGGGGATGACTGAGAAAGGCTGAGAAAGAATTCTTGTCTGCCAGGGAGTTTTACAGACTCTGCTCTCCTAGATAATCTCTGTGGTGTCCCATTTTACCCTGAATGAAATTCATGTCTGCTAGAGCCTGTAGAGTCCAGAGCTCTGATGAACCACCTCAGCCCCACACTACCTGTCCTAGTCTATCTCCATGGACCCGTCCTTCTATGGTCTAAGCACCTTACCCATCCATCTCCTCTGCACTGGCCCACATATGCACAGGCTTAGTCCTTGACATCTAGAAGTAACACCACCCATAAGCAACCTTCCCACCCACTCCTTCTAAAGACCTTTCCCCGTTCATCACTTCATAGCTGTTGTGTTATGGGTGAGCTACTGGCTCATCATCCCTACATTTTATCAACTATACAAGGCAGGCTCCCTAGAAGCGTGTGTCTATCTTTCACATTTGGCTCCAGCTCCTAAAACAGTGCCTGGAAAACAGGTGATAAATGCCACTGAAAGTATTAATGCCGTTGAACATCGACGAACACAAGAACCATTTACAATCTTCCAGCTGAGACGCTGAAATATGCAGATTTTTCTCATTCCTCCCGTCATCCTTTCCTTTTACCAACTTGTCTAGCTTTCTCAGGACTGCTCTAGAAAGTTCTTCATCAAAGGCCAGACCAGAAGTAACAAAACATAGTCAGCAGACAGATTATGACTAATATCAAGAGAAATACACAAGTCTGATGTTAGACACTCGCAGTGTGCTAGCCATGAGACACATACTCTAACTCTGGGCCAGAGCCACCACAGTTATTGCTCTATCCAGTGAGAAGACAGCAGGGAGCACTTTCTAGCTTGGCAAGCCCTTAACCAGTCAGTGAGTCTTCTAGAGCATGCGTGTACATACACGCACATTCACATTCACATACATACATGCACTTCCTGAGATCAAAGTTCCAGGTGGGCAGCCTCTTACCTGTGTCCGATGCCAGATCACAGATGCCCGGGAGTGGCCCAGCTTGTTGCGGCAGGGTCCCTTATCGTAATGTATCAAGAGGAAGTCATCCTGTGAAGGGTAGAGAAAGCGTAGCAATGAGTGGGGGTTCAGGTTCTCAGTCCATTAGGCATTCTAGTATGTCCTCTCTTCCATACACACAGAGTAGACACAGGCAGAGCAGGTGACAGTGGGGGGATGCATGTACTCCACACCTGGCCACTGTCACTACAGCCCACCATCCCTCTCCAGGGAACAGAGGAGACAGCTAGCTTCGTGCACTAGAGAGAGCCGAGTCATGGTCCAGATTTCAATATTGTGCTCAGAGAAGGGCCTCCCAGGTACAGTGGCTGCCTCCTGAGCTTAGGAAAGATGAATGGCTTTTTTTTTTTTTGACAATACTAGATGAATGAAGAGAAAGATCAGGTGGAACTCTCCAGAGCTTCCTTGGGCCTGGCTATGGCAAATCTCACTGGATCGGTCCAGCTTCTCCCTGGCCAGTCATCCCTCAGCTCAGAACACTGCAAAGTTTCTTTACTTTAGATCTGGCTCAGGAACCACCCAGTACCCACAATGTGTCTACCTGTCCAGAGCAAGACATAATCCCTCTTCTGGTGCCTAAAGAACTGTTGGGTCCACACCTCCCTCCAGGTGGCTTCAACTCTAGTGGATTTCCACTCACTTCTTAGGACAGTCCCCTCTAGACTGGCAAGTTCCTGGGCTGAGGATACATGTGCTGGACTCTTGGAAGATGTTCCCAGCTCAGGACACCCCCACCCCAACATGTATCAACACCACTGAAATGTTGGGGACAGGGTGTTCTCTGTTCCTTCACACAGAGGAACCCTGCATGTCATCAACACATGAAACACCCAAAAGGCAATACTGTTTAACCAAGGTGACAGATAAGAGGCTTCCCTTTGAGTAAAGAGCAAATAAATACAGGGTCCAGCATGGCTGAGAAGACAGAAAATTGCTTTTCTGAAACCAGAGAAAGCTAGACATCAGCCACCAACTTCTGGCCCCTCAGATCCATTCTGCTAGAGCTAGGGGATAGCTGGGCCAGCCTTCCTCCCAAGCTGAGAAGGGCACCAGCCTAACTTTGCTGACTTAAGGTCAAGTCTCCTGGGGCTGAAATCAAGGTAGTGTGGTGTTAACCTGGCTTTCATGATGCAGCTCCAGGCAGAAGTCCAGCAGCCACCACCTGTCTCATGTCTCACCTTCCCTGCCTGGACCCTCATCCACAGAAGGACGAGCAGGACAGGCGAAACTTCCTCTTGGAGTTCCTAACTGGTCTTTCACACGGATGCCAGTGTACAGTCACTGCAGATGACAACGCACATGCATTTGTATGTCTCCTTTCCCAAGACTGCCTATCACGGGGCTCTCCACAAAGTATTGAGGTCATTTTTTAAAAAAATATTTTATTTATTATTTTTATTTATTTTATGTGTATGAGTGTATGTATGTAAGTGTACATTGCATGTATGTAAGTGTACCCGTGTCATACAATGCCCATGGAGGCGAGAAGAGGGTATTGGATCCCTCGGAACTGGAGTTACGGACAGTAGTTAGCCACCATGTGGGTGCTAGGAATCAAACCGGGGTCTTCTGCAAGAGCAGCCAGTGCTCTTAACTGCTAAGTCATCTCTCCAGTCTCTGGAAGTCAATTTTTAAAAGACACACCATGGCTCAGCGGTTAAGAGCGCTGACTGCTCTTGCAGAGGACCCAGGCTCAGTTACCAGCATTTACACGGCAGCTGCGAATTGTCCTTAATTCCAGTTCCAGGGGAATCTGAAGCCCTTTTCTGACCTCCACGGCATTACGTGACATGGGTGCACTCACATACATGCAGGCAATACACTCATACACATAAAAAAAAAAAAAAAAAAGACATACCAAGCCATGTGGCACCAGCTATTTTAATGTTTACCAATCACCACCTGTGAAGGTGGGTTCTGGTCATCCAAATCCCCTGGACAGCTTATGGGAAATGAAAATTGCAGGCTACGCCCCACAGATACAGAAACCATACTGGCAGAGGCAAAGATGTTCTAAAGAGAGACATTTGTGCCACACCCCCAACCTTTGGCTATTGGACTATTGAAGCGATGAACTCCAAAAATTTGGAATTTTCCCAAGAATGTCATGTTGGGAGAAGGCTGGGTCAGTGCCAGTCAGAGGATGAAAGTCTCTTTCAGGAAGGATTTCATACAGTTCTGAGAACTTGTCAGATCATCTGCCTTGCAGGAGAGACTGGAGCTGAGACAGTGAAGGGTGATGGGATTACCTCTCGCCTTCTGTTTAAACCTAAACCTCATGCCAGCAGGAGGAAGATGAACTCCAGTGGGACTGGGGGACGTCATTGGATCTTTCTTTGTTCCTCTTCCCTCTGTGTCCATATTGAATAAATTTCTTTTCTCTGTTTTTTCACTATGACTTATCTCTTTAATTGGGATATTCAGGGTGGTTAGCTGAGCCTAGTTAAGTGCTGACAGGCTTTGATCCTAACAACTCCAGTAATAATGTCGAGCTACCGGTAAAGGGTAAACCCGCTTTCCAAATTCCCTAGGTGATTCCAATCCAATCTGTTCTTGGATGGCTGCTTTGATCAGTGTCCAGGACTGGAGGTCAAAGCCCTCCACTTTGCACATGGAAATATTCTCACTACTTCACCTGGTTCCAGCTTCTCCCTCCAGCATTTCTGGCCACATGTATCTTAACATCCTTTTGTGTGTCCAGTGATTTAGTAGCTCCAGCCTCAGGTTCAGGACTTTGTATTCTTCTTGGCAGGCGCACAAACCCCTGCTAAGCTTTCAAGCCCCTAGCCACCCTCACCCACCAAGCCGTTGCCTCGTTGACTTCACATTCATCACAAATTGCCTTCTAGGTGGGGGTGTGGCCTCATCATGTACTATCATGTGCTATGGGATTTCCTGTCGGGAAGGAGGGGTGTATTAGCTGCTTCTCTTGTTGCTTCAATACAACTTAAGGAAGAAAGGGTTGGTTTTGGTTCACAGTTTTAGGAGACAGTATGACTCATGGTGGGGAAGGCATGACTGCAGGAATCTGAGGCACCTGGCCACATTGCATCTACAGTCAGGAAGCAGAGAGAAGTGAATGCTTGTGCTTGGTTTTCTCCTTATTCAGTCCGAGACCCCCGCCAACATGGGTGCCACCCACATTTAGGGTGTTCTTCCCACCTCAGTGAACCCAGTTGTATTAGTTACTTTCCTATTGCTGTGATAAGACACTATGACCATAACAACTTATAAAAGGAAGAGTTTATTTGAGCTTATGGTTCCAGAGGGCTAGAGTCCATAATGACGGGGAAGGCATAGCGGCAGAGGTGGCCAGAGCAGAAAACCAAGCGATCACATCTTTAGTCAGGCACAGGAAGCAGAGAGCAACTGGAAATCCATGTAGACTTAAGAACTCTCAAAGCCTGTCCCCAGTGACACACTTCCTCCAGCATGGCCACACCTCCTAAAGGATCTCTGACCCTCCCAACAGCACCACGAAAGGGGGATGAAGTGTTTGAATACCCAGAGCCTATGGGGGACATTCTCATTCAAACTACCAGACTGATTTAGAAACTCCCTCACAGACATGCCCAGAGGTTTGTTTCCATGGTGATTATAAACCCAATCAAGTTGAAAATCAAGATCAATCATCACAGAGGAAATGGACCCTGAAAATCAAGACCTTTACTTCCAGTCATCCACCCAGAGGGGAGCTGCCCACATGCAGAGCAGGCCTCTGAAAACAAGGGAAGTTTGCTGAAGATGGGTTTTCTCACTCATCAAGGAAGCCCTTTCATAAGGTCTGCACTGTCATTTGCTCTTGGCTGTGACCAAATACTTGACAAGAAGCAATTTAAGGCTAGAAGGATTTATTTTGGCTCATGGTTTGAGAGTAAGGCATGGTGGCATGACCTTGAGGTTGCTTTTCACATGAGGGCAGATCATTAAGCAGAGAGGTGAATGCACAGGGGGCTTCCTTCTCCTTCAGCATCTAGTAGTAAGGCCAGTTTTCAGCAGCTCTTCACTTACAAAGGAGCTGTGGGCCGCCACCACAAGGGAGCACTGTTGAAAGAAACAGGAAGTGTGGCTCCTCCATGGGTTCAGGAGGCTCCTGTGTGATTCAGGCAGAGCCAAAGCAAGGAGGCTTAGGATGGGGCCCTGCAGGGAGTATGCTAAGTCACCAGCTAGAGCTGGGATGCACTCCAGTGTCTACCAAGAAGAAGGATATGGGTGTCCCTTCCTTCTCTGGGACTCCCCAGGGCATCACCTTGTCCAGGAAAGAGTAACAGAAACCACAGTCTCAAGAAGTCAAACTCTGTCCATCAGTTTTGAATACTGTTCTCCAGAGGGGCACAATAATTAGCAGTATGCCAGCATTTTACTTCCTTCATATAGTTACATGGAGTGGTGGGCTGCAAGGCCAGGTACATACATCACAATACAGTGGTCAGTTTTCAAAGAATCACAGTGAAATGCAGAAATGACTCTGCAGGCTGGGAGCAACCTTGTGCACAGGCATTCACCCTCTGACACTGCCACAGGATGCTGTCATCAACAAACGTGTTAGGCCACATTCTTACTAGCCTGGGACACAGATGGCCCAGTGGGCCTCAGTTTGGACATGCTTATGAAGCTTCAGTTTACACCTTAAACATGTTGTGACCACTGCAGGGGGTCAGAATGCAGCTTTGTGTTTTCAACTTAAGTAAAGCTAAACACATATGTTATTCAATCATTAAACCTGTCTCACAAGTGGAAATGAAGCCTCCAAAACCCAGCTGCACCATTTTCCCCGGATCTGTCAGCTACATCTGGTTTTATAGTGAACTTAACAATTTAACATTAATAAAGGGAACGACAGGGTTTTCATTAAAAAAAAAAAAAAAACAATTCCTCAAAGAAGCAAGGTATTTATTTAATTATTTTTATTTTTTTAAAAGACTTTATTTTTCAGGCTGCAGAGATGGTTCAGTGGGAGCACTGGTTATTCTTACAGAGGACCTGGGTTTGAATCCCAGAACCTACACGGTGGCTAACAACCATCTATAGCTCCAGATCCAGGGGATTCGACACCCTCTTATGACCTCCACAGACACTGCATGACATGGGTGCACTTACCTACATGCAGGTAATACACTCATAGACATAAAATAATCAAAAAATCAAACAAAAAGTTAAAAAAATAATATTTTATTTTTCTTATTTGATGTGTTTATGTGATCTGTGGGAATACCACATGTGTGTGTATGCTCAGAGTAACCTGATGTGAGTGATGGGATCTAAACTCAGGTCTTTTGGAAAAGCAGAAGGTACTCTTTACCACTGAGCCATCTCTCCAGGCCTCTATATAAGAGTTTTAAAGGATGGCCTTTGTATACGTAGATTCCTTATCTCATCTAATAGTTCATCTCAAACAGATAACTTGTTTTCTTCTTAACATTGGCCTATCCAGAGCATGGGGAAACTTTTGAAGCTATTCCTCTGTCCATTGTTCAGAATCACTTTTGGCAGCCTGAGGAGGTAACTCTTGGAGTTCCAGTGAATAACTGTTTCTGACATGATCTAGGCATGGACACTTACTTGCTCAAGAAATGGCAGTCTCACACAGTCAGGGTGAGACAGAACAGGCACTAGACAGACAACCTCCCAACAACAGCAACCACGAATTTACCCAGCACCTCCTTTGTTTGTGTGGATCTCATGGCTTCACACCAGCATTAATGAGTTTGATGTATTCATTCTGCTACCCAGAACATACGCAAACAGACCCCTCTCAAGACATCTGACTCCACTCACTAAGAATATTATTGACAATGTTTAACATGTGATTAGATCTTTTTTGGGGGGGGGGGATCTTTTTGAGACAGGGTCTCCCTGTAGCTCTAGCTGTCCTGGAACTCGCTATGTAGACCAGGCTGGCCTTGAACTCACAGAGATACGCCTGCCTCTGCCTCCCGAGTGCTGGAATTAAAGGCATGCACCACCACGCCCAGCCTTAGATCTGTTTTTTAAACATTGCTTTTTAAAAAGTCTATACAAATGTTTCCAAAACTAAAGTCATATATCACCATTCTGGAAAGATGCCTGTCTTACTTAGCTTTAATTTTCAACTTGATATAGCTTAGAGTCATCTAAATCCTGATTGAGAGGTTGCTGAGATCAGACTGGCCTGTGGGCAGTTGTTTCTGCTTCAAGTTCCTGCTTGAATTCTTGTCCTGACTTCCTTGGTATAAGTGGTGATATAAATGGTTTCCTCCCCTAAGATGATTTCATTAGAGCGTTTTATTAGAGCAACAGATAAAACTAGAACAGTATGTAACCAGTACGACAGGTGAGGAAGGTGAGAGGGAAGCAGAGAATAGTTGTTTTCACCAGAGAAATAAATCAAGGCTCCAGGGCGGGGTATTCCTGGGTTGGAGGGTAAGAACAAACTCCCCTTTTCAGGAGCCTGTACTTGGCTGTTCTGCACAGACAGGTGGGGTAAGAAACCTCAGCAGCAGTAGAGGCATGGCACAGAGGGCATGTGAGAAACTTCCATTCTGGCAGACCACAATGGGAATGTATGTTATTCTTCCCTTTAGATAAAACATGGAAACTGCCCTGTGTACCCAGCATGCCTTGCTGTCTGTGTTTCTGTTTGTCCTGTGTGCCCAGCATGCCTTGCTCTCTGTGTTTCTGTTTGTCCTTTTGTTCTACTAACCAGACCCTTCAGGGATCAAATGTGCCACCTCAACCAAAATTCTGAAATATACTGAAGCCCTGAGTTCCAGTATCATAGTGTTAGGAGGTGGGGTCTTTGGGGGACGATTAGGCCATGGTGATGGGAGCCCATGGTGGGATTAGTGTCCTTGAAAAATGGGGAAGAGACCAGAGCTTGCTCTCTCCCAAATGGGCAGTTAAGACCCAGGTAGAAGACAGCCATCTAAGTACCAGGAAGGAGCCCTCATCCTGACTTCATTTGTAGCCACTCCCTGGCTTCCATCATCTGAACTGTGAGAAGTGGATGTCTGTTGTTTGTTACTGCACTCCGTAGTGTTCTAGCACAACGGCCCAGCTCATTAGGACAGTTACAACCAAGCCATATCCTAAGATGCTCAGCACACCTTCAAAATCAAGCCTGGCCCAAGGTTACACAACCAGCTCTTTGACCAAGCTCTGCCTCTGACACCATCCCACTTAAGGAACTAAGAAGAAATGTCCCTCGGTGCTACTTCTTTGTTTCATGGGTGTGGCCTCCAACTTCGTTAAGAGAAGCTGGCCTCTCTCCCACTCCCCCGTCTGAAGTCCAGAGCTCACAGTTGCTATATATGGCCGTACAGTACTTACATCCAGGGACTCCAGGCAGTACCAGCAGAAGGCATGCTTGCAGTTCTTACACATCATCTGTGCACAGCCCTCATCCCGCTCAATGTACACCTTGCACTTGGGGCAGCGCTTGATGGGTGCGTCGTCCTCTTCCATCTTGAAAGCAGAGCTGCGGAAGACAGGTCATGAAAATCTGTACAGAGGGACTGGCTCTAGAGGCGCAGAGGAACAGGCTGACCTCTTGTTTTGAAGGAAAACAATACAAAGTCAAAGTAATGGAAACCTTAGAACACGAACAGCCAAAATACCGTGAACCTACCAGATTAAAGTAAAACAACAAAAGCAGCCTTAGCACATACCTAAATTTAGGTTTCTACAGAAAAACAAGATATAGTACAAGGCTTAGAATGGAGGAACCCTGGGGAACAGTATTGGGTCTACATGTAATGTCCCTGTTCAGATATGTATGGATAATAAATTGTATGCACTTTGTTATTGTCAGAATAAAAAGAAGTCATAAGCACGCAGCTAAATGAAGACCTTCCACTTGCTTCAGACCTGCCTGGCTTGGCTTGCCTGACACTACTGTTCCCTGAAGACTCGGGTTGGGTATGCAGTGGTTATCAGCTTTAAACCTGGAGAAGATGCTTGGCTCCTCCATAAACCAGCTGTGGGCAAGACAACTCTCCGAGTCTCAGTCTTTGCCTGGTGAGCCTGAGAGGACTATGCATGACAAGGCTACAATGCAATGTCCTTCTTGAGCAAAGCAGCGGATAAGAGGCAGCAACAATTCAGTACTTTTAATTTAAAAAGATAAGACAGGTCTTTAGGCATGGCCCAAGAAGAATGCCTATATCAAGCTGTTAGTTTTTAACAGATGGCTAAACATGTTCACGAAAACATCTGGAACAATGAATGGTAAAGGCCAAGAGACTCTCCCACAGATTATGGGAGCACATATGCTAAATGTTAGAGCCTGCAGCATCAGTCCAATATGACCTGGAGGAAAATGACCCTCCTTTGAGCTAAACGGTGTTTTCAGAATGTATGCATCTATGAGTGCGCAGTCACTGAGGCCCAGGCAGCTCTGGTATTTTCAGGCAACCTGGCTGAGGGATCCCAGAGTGCCACAAGAAATACAAGAGATAAATGCAGTTTTGGTTCATGGGACTCCTCTGATGATCAGTAGTGAATGCTCCCTCTTCTCAGGGCCACAGGTTTCTTATGTGTACCTGAGGGGTATGCTCCCAGGGGTTCTGTTTTCTGTTCTGGTAGAAGGTGACAAGCTGAAAAATTCTGGAGAGGGCTAGGGAGATGGCTCAGTGGATAAAGTGCCTGTCATGGGAGCATGAGGACTGGAGTTCAAGTCTCCAGAACCCTATAAGACATGGATAGACCTGGCAGCTGCCTGAAATCCCAATATCCTTGAGGCAGAGGCAGGGGATCCTAGGGCCATTTAGCTGGACTAGCCAATCCATGAGATCTGCATTCAATCAAGAGACCTTGTCTCCATATTTAAGATGGAGAGTGACTGAAGAAAATACCTGCCATCCGCTTCAGGCCCCCACATGCATATGGATATACACAAACACACACAAAATTGTGGAGGGAAGCAGAGCACCCTTGCTGCTAGGAGCACAGTCTTAAGACCCAGTCCTGCAGACAAATCCTAGCTGGGCTGTTCCGCAGTCTCCATTACCCCAGCCTGCCTTTCTATAGTACAGACTAACCTGGGTGAGAACACTGATCTCTCACTAGTGTTGTGAGGATTAAAGGTTTACATGTGTTAAGTATGTAAGTGTAAAAGCCTGCATACGCATAGTCAGGAAGTTCGAGTTGATTTTTAGCATTATTACTGAAAGATAAGAAAACTTAAAGGTATGCAACAGATCAATCTGGCTGTGCAGAGGGTGGTCCATTTTGAATTAGGGTGTGAGAAGGGGCAGATAGGGTAACATGAGCACAAGTGCTTCCAACAGGACCTAGCACCAGTCAAGAAGAAATATCAGCTCTAGCCTCTGGACAGTCATACTAAGGAGTAAAGCCACTCGGGAAGATTCAGCCTTAAAAAAACCAACTCCATTACAACTGGGTGTCTTCTAAGCCATGACAACCATCAGCCAGCCTCAGGGCTGGGAAGAACAGAAAGGAATGAAGACTATGGGTTACCCCACAAGTCCCACCCAGGGAGGTGCCACTGCCCAGCTCCTGTGGGAAATTCTGATTTTTATGTGGAAACTCTTGATTTTGGAATTTCTACAAAAAGAGACCCATGATTTGACTTAAATTACCCTGTGGGATGATTTAAGGGGACCCAGAATATTACAGAGGACAGAAACTAAGTCACCAAGGTCCAGGAGAATCCCCATGGGCTACATGTGATGGTGGCCCAGCACAAAGCTGCAAGCTAACTCAAAACATTTGGAGATTTTTAAAAATTTTACTTATTTATTTTTATGTGTATGCATGTATTGCCTGCATGTGTGTAAGTATACCCATGTTGTGTGATACATGTGGAAGTCAGAAAGAAGGCATCAGATCCCCTGGAACTATAATTATGGATGGTTGTTAGCCACCATGTGGGGGCTAAGAACTGAACCTAGGTCTCTGCAAGAGCATCCAGTGCTCTTAATTGATGAACCATCTCTCTAACCCCATGGAGATTCCTTAAGTATATATATCTCAATTCTACAGTTCTTAAGCATGAACTTTGTAGGTGATAGTGTGGTGTTGAAATGTGAAAAGGTTATTCACACCTTCCACATTCACACTGTGTAGTTTAAATGAGAAATGTCCCCCATAAGCTCATGTATCTGAACACTGGGTCCCTAACTAGTGTCACTATTTAGGGAGGTTGTAGAACCTTTAGACGGTGCAGCCGTGACAGAGGAAGTACGTCATTGGGGGAGGGCTGTGAGTGTTTATAGTCTCGCCCCACTTCTAGCCTACTCTCCCTGCTTCTTGCGTGTGGATGGAAAGTGATCAGCCAGCTTCCTGCTCCTATAACCTGCTGCTGTATCTTCCCTGCCATGATGGACTCTTATGCTCTGGACTGTAAGCTAAAATAACTCTTTCTTCTATAAGTTGCTCTTGGTCATAGCATTTTTAATCGCAGCAAAAGAAAAGAAAACACAACTATTTTCCATCCTAAAGGTATTTGAGATAGAATCTCATCTAATCTCGAATGCCCTCAAACTCACTGTGTAGCCAAATATGATACTGAATTTCTGATATTCCTGCCTCTACCTCTTGAGTGCTGGGATTACAGGCATGTGCCATCATGCCTAGTTTATGCAGTGCCAGGGATTGAACCCAGGGTATGGTGCATGCTAGGGAAACACTCTACCAACTAAGTTCCATCTCCAACCCCTGCTATTGAAAATGCCAGGATTGGGATCCCCCTTCACTCATTGCAAAGATCCATCCCTCCTGCTGTTTCTGCTGACAGACACAGACTTATTCACTCACACACTCACTGATCACTAGCAAGTCCTTTGAGACAGATAGCTTGACTACTTACATAAGGCACATCCTGATTAGCTTCTATCTGTCCCCACCCTGGAAACCAACTGCTGCCAATTATTTTTAACCCAACCACACAAGAAGTTTGTTACTTCTTATAATATCTGGAAGCCTCTAGAACCCTACATCTAAATTTAGTGATCTTTGCTAGTGTCTGCCTGATGTACACCAGGTCAAAGTTCAAGCACACAGAGCCCCTGACTGCAGGACACTAGCCATGGAGAGAGATGACCTATAGCAGAGTATTCCAGGATGGTGGTCAATGCGTCCAACCTCCAGAAGGAAAGCAGAGGCTGTAGTACCCTTTCTGACCTGGAAACTTGGAGCAATAGAGGAGACAGGAGCCCTGTGCAAAGGGCAGCAAAGAGTCTTAGGGAAGGGATTACAGAACAGCAACAGGCCTACAGACCATATGCAACGTGGGAGAGGGTAAGGGGTGTGTGGCTGGGGCATGGCATGGGGTTGTAGTCCTGGGGATCAGGAGAGAAAAAAACGGACCTGGTGGTGAGGACACCTTTGAGTAGGCCATAGACAGCTATGATAATCCTTCTATCAGGATGACAGGCACTTTGTCCAGCTGAACTATGTGACTATATACATTTCTAAGGGGGGAAAAATGCCCCGAGTAGAACCAGTTTCCTATGGTTCACTCTATTAAATTCTAATGCTCATGGAATGAGTCTATAAAGTCCACCTGGGCAAACAGTGGGGTCATTTGGCTCTGGGCAGAGCAAGAAGAAAGAAATATAACAGCGTTTTGCCATATTATTTTTTAAAGGTTCATTTTATTTGTGTGTATGTCTAGGTGTCTGTGTGGATATGTGCATGTGCATGCTGGTGTCCAAAGAGGCCAGAAGCGTTAGATCCCCTGAGGCTGGAGTTATAGGTAGTTGTAAACCAACTGATGTGGGTCCTGGGAACTGAACTCGAGTCTTCAGTAAGACTAGCTAGTACTCTTAACCACTGAGCCATCTCTCTAGCCCCTGTTTTACCACATTCTAATAGATTCAGAATTCTAGGGATATATAGCCTTTTTGACCTCAAATATTTGTAGAATTGTTTTTGGTGATCTTTCTAGTTAGAAACATTATCCATGTCTAGCGTTTTTGCTCTTACACCCCCATTTCAGATCATTTTCAACAGAGTGAGTTTTAGGAAGACTGCTTAACCCCTGTATGGACATCCATTGTCTGTGCATCTGTCATTCCACACAGGGAGTGGAGAGTGGTTCTTATGCACCTTTACATTTCCAGGATCTTATGCAGTGCCAAGCAAATAGTTCTCATAGTAACCCACAGGACTGAAAGAGACTTAGGTGGTGGAATATATGCTGAGGCCCATGCATCTCTTGCCACATCCTTCCAGGTGACACAGGAAGGAAACACATCTCCTCTCCCAGCCACAGACATCAGCCCATGGCTCCCAGTCTCCAGCCCACTATTTTTGCAGTAGTACCCACACAGAGACAGGGTTACCTTGTCTCCCCAGGAAGGAAGGTAATGGGCATGGTCTCTGGACAGCCTTGGCCGGGGTGCCAGCGAGCTTTGCATGCAGAGCAGAATTCCATGTCGCAGGCTTTGCACTGTACCAGCTGAGGGGTCTGTAATCCTATGTCCTGGAGTTGGCACACAGCTTGGCAGGTGGATGCTGGACACCATGTCCGGCAGGGGTCAAAGAGCACCTCTAACACAAGGAAACAAGAGGGAGATCAGACCCAGGTTGCCATGGGAACTGGAGAGGGTGAGTGTGTAGGAGACCACCCCCCCACTCATCCAGAGGCAGTCACCCAGGTGACCCAACCAGACCCAACCCAGACAAAACAATCCTTTACAACTCTGTCTTCATGTTCATCTACCTCCACTCCAGCCCCTCTCAGCGTCTTACCCTTGTACCTGGTGTGCCTAGGCTTCCCAATATGCCCTCTTGACCCCCAGGTCCCTTACGTTCTGCAGAGACAACCATCCACCCCCATTTCCCTGAATGCCAGCACCACAGCTCCTTGTCTGCATTGCCCCTCCTCCCTCGAACCAGAAGTCCCAACCTGAAGTCAGGCCTGAGGCGTCTCTTGAAACTTCCCAAACCTAGCCCCAGACTACCACACAGCCAACACTCAGGAATGCCTGTTAAAGGCTGGAAAGGAAGGAGGGAAGGAAGGTGGATGGGATAGTCTTCTTTACTTTTACAAAGTAACATACAAAATAATTAATGTCACTATGGCATTTTCCTACCTATATGTCAGGATACTTTGTTCTAGATTTGTTTTCTAATTGGCTAGTTCACATGCCTGAGATGGTCTCCCTTCCTAAATCTAAACCCAGGCCATGAGTTAAGTACTGGGTGAAACTAATTTTCAGCAGCCTGTTTTCCCTCCAGATTGGAGCTCAAGTTACTAAGAATCTTAACTTCATGGAATCTGTTAGGAAGTTTGTTTTAAAAACAGGATTATGATAGTGTTCCTCATCTTTCATATCCTGGTCCAAAAACTGCATTTACTAAATAACTGGTCCTGAGCTGCCCTCTACCATGAGTGAGTTAGCATCTCATTAGCCCTCTTGTCAAGCAGTCATTTAATCTGCATGAGGTGAGAGAGGAAACACACAGGATTCTAACATTCTAATCGAGAGCCATAGCAGGCCAGTGGATTAAGGGATCATTTTCAAAGGCCTGCACAAAGCCACTGGTCCCCAGCTTTTCAGTTAGCTGTTCTTGAGAGGTCATCTGGGGAAAACTGAATTTTTCTGAGAAAACTTGGACGGTAAAAAAAGCTTCCTTATGAATTTCCTGACCTTGTGCCTCGTGGCCAGAAGTGTTTGGTTCACCTGATTCAAAGATGAGAGCTCCAGTGGGCTAGATGGGCTGCAGGGGCCTGTGGTGGTCAATATTAATTGTCAGTTTGACAGGATCAAGCATCCCCCAGGACACAAGTGTCTGCACATATCTATGAGGGAGTTTCTAGATTAGGTTAATTGAGGTGGGAAGTCCCATTCTAGCTGTGGGCAGAACCATTCCATGGACTCGGGTCCTGGACTGAATGAAAAGGGAAAGTGAGCTGAGCACAAGCATTCAGTGCTCTCTGCTTCCTGACTGCAGATGGGATCTGACCAGACACCTCACGCTCCTGTCCCAATGCCAGCCCTACGGTGATGGACTACAACCTCAAACCACCCCTTTCTTCCTTAGGTTGCTTTTGTCAGGTACTTTATCACAGAAATGAGAAAAAAGTAACCAATACAGGGTCCAAACCTCACTTGGATATGTCGGCACAGGGCAGATAGGAAGTTAGTTATTAAGTCTGCAACTGCAGAGTCCTGACCTCATACACTCACACACACGTGCCCTTCTATGGGCTCCATGTTCCACCAACAATAAGGGAAGCTGTGGTTAGTGCTGAAGGAGCAAGCCTGTGTCAGGTCTAACCTTGGCAACGATCTAATCACCCAATGCAGGTCTGCCAACTTCTGTAAAGGGCTGGATGGGGATTATTTACTCATGGACCATGTAGTCTCTGGGCTTCAGTTTTTCTGTTGTGGTTAAGAGCAGACTAGCAACCTATAAATGAAGGCTCTGGGAAATGCTTAATTATGTAGCTAGGGGCTTGGGGCGGGGGTAGCCTCCTAGCCAAGCTGGCTGACTCTTTTATTAAGGTGAGTTCAAGAGCACAAAAGAATCATACTGATAAGCTCAGAAGGGGCCTAGGAGGCCTGACAGTGGAGGAACTCCAGAACTGAGAACCTGCATTCCATATCCACCACACCTTCATTACAGGAACGTAAACCCTCAAGATGCTCTGAATACAGACAATGAACATTAGCTCCTGTCTAACTCAAGAATAGTTTCAATGTTTGTAAGAAGGTTCCTAGTCAATGAATGTACAAAACACATATGGCAACAGAACTGAGGGTCCATGGGGAAGGGTTGTCCCTGTAGGCTTGGGGTGCAGAGAGCTCTGCTAAACCCTGTCAGGTCCAAGTTGGAGGAAATGCCCAGGGAGCTCACACAGTCCAGGAACCCCAAGCTCTTCTCTGCCTAGCAGCCTTGCCTGCCCCTGCCACTTGGAATTTCAACTTCACCCGAAAGCCCTCTGCCTCCTTCCATGCGTATTGTTGAGGGGGCTAGCCTGGCATCAGACCAGATATGAGGCACTCTATATGCACAAGTACTTACAAAGTCTCTGTGGGGCATGGAGATTCAATGTGCTGAATGTAACAAGGACAAGATGACTCAGTGTCATCAATGCGATGCTGTAGTTGAACCCTTCCTGAAGCAGGCTACCTGTCTCAGACCCTTGGAGGCCCCAGCCTCTGCCTGATGCCTTCTCTGTGCTCTGGGAACCCATGACATCATTGGGTGATGCAAGCTTCCCAAAGCTGGTCATGTTTCCATGTGCTTCCTGACATATGCCACCAGCCCAGACTACAGTGGGAAAAGTTATCTTGCTCCTTCATCAGGGAAGGTCCCACTCTGTTGTGGCATGAAAGGGATAAGGAAAAGTTGTTTCCATGGGAAAAACTCCAATTCTTTGACTGGTACCTCAGGATTGTGATATGGCACTGCCAGTCCTCACGTGGAAAGTTTTCCTAGGGGTAAGGTAAAGTGATCTGTCGCTGAGCTGAGTGCAAGCATCCTCCCTGTGGCTCCTGGTAGATATCTACTGATATTCAATTTGGCCATTCTACTGCTGTGCACAGGAGCAGGAATCAACCAATAACAGAGTCCACAGCAGGGGACATTCGCATTTCCTCAGAATGTATGTATGTGTGTCTCTCTGCCTTCCTGTCACCTGTGTCTACCCACAGTCCATGTTGCATATGTATATATGTGAGATATTTTCAAATAAGACAAAGATATCTTTTCTGGAAAAGCAAAAGAATCTAGTCGTACCTTGAATCTCCCAAAGGCTATGTATGATTTATCTTTAGGAGACTGGCATTTACATCAGTTTCTTAAGGGACCTTAGTGAAGCAGCTTTCCAAGAGCTCTACTTATAAAACATGTCTAGCCACCAACCTCCTTTTGATTGGATTTAAGACCTGCTCCACAAGATGAGCTTGCGACTTATTACACCCATTGACTGGTGCATCTCTCAACTCTCATTAGAGAAGCTGCTCCTTGCAGTGGATACTGATTAGCAGAGAGACCTACAACAGGCCAGTGTGCAGAGAATAAGAGACTGTGGAGCACTCAGCCTTAAATGAGACACCTATATCACACCACCCTCTCCTCCCAAGGCTCAGGGATCATTCCAGAAGCAGGGGCAGAAAAGTTCTAAGAGTCAGAGGTGGTGCATGAATACAAAAAACTGTGTTATCTGGACACCACAAGGTAGTTGCACATATGAACCCTCAGGTTAGACTCTATAGGTCTTTTTATAAAAAGACCATTAACAGAGGACACGAAGTCAGGGAAGGGGTTAGGTGGGGCGGAGGGGGGTCTGAATTCAATCAAAATGCACTGTATGAAATTCTTGAATCAATAGAAAAATATTTTTTAATCTCCAGTCATTTTCCCTCATGTGTTGGCACCTCCTGATGTGCTGACTGACCTGGCTGGTGCCCTGGTCCCAGACTATGGTGGTAGATGAGACCCTGATGGAAAGACGCTGCAAATCAAGGAGTCCTCAGTCCTCTCAGGGCTTCTGACATACCATTCAAGTTGCTTAATCACTGTGAGCTTTGCTTTCTTTTAGAAAGCAAAAGGACCAAGCAAGGCTGAGTTCAGCACTGCTCTGGTCAGGCTTTCTCTGGGCAGAGGACAGAATGCATGAAGGTACCTCTCTGTCTTGGCATATCATGAGCTTCCAGACAGAAAGACAGGCAGACATGGAAAGTAATACGCTCAGACACTACAGGGCAAACATGCTCAGGAGCATAGTCTGTAGCCATCTCTAAAGCCTACCCAGGCATTAGAGTGGATCAGGTGAGGCAGCAGGTGCCCAGAAAACAAAAGCCATTCCTGAGAACGCGCCC